TAAAACGAGGTAATAAACTGTAACGAAATGAAGTCATGTAAAATGCCTAGAACACTGCTTAGTGCCTGACAGGTGCACACTAGTTCTTGTCGATGCGGGATCATTTTTTATTCCTACAGGGGCTGTTCCAGCATCTCCACTATGAGCTCTTCCTCTTCCCAGCTGCCTGCCCCCAGGTGAGGTGGCTTTCTCTTGCTCTCCCCACAGATGTGTTCTCATCTGACCTCGTTATTTCAGAGTCTCTGAATTGTATGACTTTGGCATTCTCTAAGGAGTTACCGATGTTAACTTAGAAGCTTCTGGGACACAACAGCCCTTCCGGATCCCAGTGCTGGGGCCTCCGACGAGCTTCCCCCTCCCCCATTGCCTACCTCTGGCTGGTGCTGCACGTGCAGGGCCCCCTTCGGGGTGCCTGTCCTCTGTCCCGGGATTTGACAGCAGCCAGCCTCTTGGAGTAACATTCACATCCACGAAAAACACTGAACAAAAAGGTGCCTACACTATTGAGAAAATCAGGTCAGAGTCCATCAGCATCAGAACACTGAGGGTCTACATGGAAACACTGAAAGACAGCCCCAAAGACCCTGCCTCCCCCTCTACCCGGCTGCCCTTGCCCATCAGCTGTCCGTTCCCTTGCCGTCTGAATGTTGCTTTCCTAAACCCTAGTGACTAACATGTAATCATCGGAGGATCTCTCAAAGGGTTTGCTTTGCCTCCACTGCTCCCTGTCACCAATCTGGGCCTCCCTCGGGGCTTGGGGGCCAGGCTGTCGGAGAAAGTTCGGGTGACTGAGTTGCAGGCTGGTCACCTGGCAGGGCATTGGCCCTGAGTCTGCCTCCTCCGATGCCACTCGCAGGGACAGACCGAGGGTTGAGCAGAGAGGCTGGAAAAGGCCAGAGGCCAGAGGTTTTCCAGAGGGCAGAAAGGACGTGTTCACCTCCTGCTGGGAATTCTGTTTCCAGAAGATTCCAGTCCCACCAGAACAAACCAAGGGAGCAGCTTTTGCCTCCCCAAAGCAGGTCCTGGATCCTCGGATCGCTGCCTCCAACTACCTGTATGGCCTCAGGCATGTCTCCTGATCTTCCTGGGCCATAGTTGCCTTATTCAGTAGGGAAGAGGGTGGACAGATAACCTCTAAAGTCTCTTGCCCCATTGGCATTGATCTGGCACTTGTGACCTGCATGGTCTGTCCTCTGTGGTCATTGAGAGAGGCTGAGTGGCAAAGAGAAATTACTCTCTGCCCTCAATCCTGGCATTCCCCCACTCCTCACCCCCAGGCATCAAGCAGCCTGTAGTGTTTAAGTCGTGGTTGAGCTCAGAGCCTGAGATGGGGCCTGTCAACAATAGCCAGAAGCAACGTTTTCTAATGGAGGCGCAGTTTCCACACGAGCAGAAGGAATTTGATTTAACTTCTGATCAGGCATTTCAGTTTTTATGCTGGGCTTTGTTAAAAAGGACAGGACAGGATGGCTTGAAGAAGTCATTTGCAACATCCCCATAAATAGAGGCCAATTTATGTCTTGAGGATTAACTTGCTACTGTTTTCACACCTTATATTTGGTAGGAGAAGCTGGACCTTGCTTGAAAACAGTATTTCCCTACAATGAAAATCTGCTTGATAAAAGTGAATCTGTGTTTTAGAAAAACATGACATGTTTCAGTCTGTTGCTTCCTACTTCAGTGAAGGTGCTAATCTTCTGACTGAATATTTATGAGAGGGGAGAGGCAGTGAGCTAGCAAGAAAATGCCTTCTGGAGGAAATGCACTTTCCCAAGAGACGTGCTGTGTGCCATGGTGAGAAAACTAACCATCACCGTGCTTTTGGCAAGTTCATAAAGCATCCTTGTGTGGCAGAAAGAAAAGTCCTTCTTCTGGCTGGCTTCCTTTATGGCCTAAGAGGTCTAGCTAGCAGGCTGAAGCTCTGAGTATTGATCACCAACTTGGACCCATCCTCACCTGCATACCTTGGCAGTCAGCAAAGACTAGATGGGCTGCCCTGAACTAGATGAACAGCACTGTTGTTAATAATCTGAAATCCGGTAAAATGAAATACTTCCCACGCTTGGGGTGGAGACCCTTCCTGGATGGGGATACTTATCTTCTGCATTGTGTATTTCACAAGGCTGTATTTTCATACCTGGTATAGTCAGTTTCGCTTAGAGAAGAACTCCTGTAAATAGGCCATCACTACAAGGGAAATCCCACAGTGCATTTAATCTTCTGTTTACTGACTGCTCACCTGGCCTCTAGCACATATAACAACATAATTTCTCAGGGCCTTGTGTATTTTCCCCTTAGGTTCTGTTCACTCTCGTCGCTGGGACCGCAAGTTGGTGGTTGGCTGGATGCAGGGACCATTTTTTGGCATCAAACCACGTGTTCCTTCTCATCTTACTTCTGAAGCGTGGTGTACCTTTCTCAAGGACCCTGCCTCACAGCCTTTCTGCTTCCGCTACCCCTTCTAAAACCAGCTTAAATGTGTTCCTTCTGCAAAAAGTCTGCCTGCAGATTTCAAAAAGCAACTCATTGCTCTACAACATACATGTCTATGCTTAAATATTGTGCCTGCAGAATACACTGCCTCCCACAGATATATGTTGAGAGGTCTAACTTTGCATTTTGAGCTCCATATATGGTTACCTTTTACCTGTTTTATTCTACAGGACTTCCGAATGCCCGCTGATGCTATTTTTTGAGATGTACATTTCTCATAAGGAGCGGGTCTGCTAATTTTGCTTGGCACCTTGGCCAATAAGATGCTACATGCAGGCAGATAACTTAAGTATTTTAAAGATACTCAGAATAGCCCTGCATATCTTTGTGAAATTCATTCAGAATCTTTAGCTGTTCTGAAGAGCAGGATAGGGTGTGATTTTCTCAGTTAAATAAAAAACCACCTATTGCGTTACCTTTCCTATAAGGCACTGGTACTTGCTCCGATATGTAAGTAGAGACAGGAGGGAGACCACCCACTCCTTTTCTGTCCTGTAGCTTTCTACTTCTTTTAGAGATGGTTTTCCAGATGGTGATGGCATTTAAGTGATGGAGCTGGGACTATGAAAGGACTTGCTTTCTTTCTTTTTATATTTTTTAAAGATTTTCTTCTTTTTTTGTTAATGGATGTACTGGGGATTGAACCCAGGACCTCGTGCATGCTAAGCATGCATTCTACCAGTGAGCTATAACTCCCACCCCCAGGACTTATTTCTAGTATCTTATAAATATTTTTCTCAGGAGGACCTGATTTGGTTTTGATTTAGTTGTTCATTTTCTTTCTGTCCATCATCAAGATGTCCAGATGCAAGGTAAACAAAGACAGCTATTAAATAAACAGAAGGCTACAATTCACAATTAGCTGTAATAGAAGCCTGTGACTTTCCTGACAGCAAAGTTGAGAAAGAATAAGAAATTCTTCCCAGAAATGGGTTGGTGTATAGAGTTACTTTCTCTCACGTCATCTCCTGCCCCTCCCCTTGAGTAAACACTTAGCCAGGATGGTAGCGAAGGCAAGCGCTGTACTGCCAGCCCTCTTTCCCTCCAACCCCTTTTATGTTCCCAAAGTGAATACAACATGGGTACATGCTTCAGATTAATCAATGAGGATAAAATTCAGTCACCTCATTTGGGTTTTCTTTAATTTCCCACAGATTAAAGGGACATTATTTCTCCCCTAAGATCCTCCGACCTTTAAATGTGGATTTCATTAATAATGTCAAATATTTAAATGTTGCATGTGAGCAATTCCCCATTCCAAATTCTTTGTAACACCGCCAATCAAACAGAAGAGTTTTCTTCACCTGTTAGAATAAAATGATGTCCCAGGTACTTCATTTCCTAGGAGACAACTCCAACATGATTTAAATGACAGGGGGAAAGCTCTTAGCTGGGAGATATTGTTTAAGCTTCTGTCCACTAAGACAGAAAAGATAGGTTTCTGAGAAAGATGATGAGATATAAGATAATTTTATCTTAACTATATTTGTTAAACTATTTTTTCCCCCAGAGGTCAAAGTTGTAGTGTAAAAAGACCCATCCCCCAAGCTGGGCTAAGAACTAATTCCTGAAATTCCTCCCTCCCTCTCACCCACTGGCTCACTCGCAGTCCCTACATATCCATCTGATGCCGAACTTGACCTACAGTTGACTTCATTGGATTAGTTTACAAATCAAGAAGTCAAGTTTGTAATTTTTGAACCCTCATCGTTTAATTATTACCCATCATCCTGAGGTTCTGGATTCACCAGGGCACCAGGACATTTTTATTAACAAACAAATCAGACGAAAAACGTAAGGTCTTTAAATGTTTATTTTGTTGATTCTTCACAGCGCAACCAAAGTTAGAGAGAGGAAAAAAAAAAGCCAGTTAAATTCGGCTACTACCAACAACCAAAAACCTCAGACACGAAATTCAAAGCAAGTTGATGAAAGATCATAAAAATATCTTGGATGAAGTAATTTGTTAACGTCTGTAACAAATCAAGACCGATCATCTGTGTAGTTCTTCAGTCGCAAAGCGGCTGGAAGACCTGCCCCACGCGCTGGTCAAAGACCAGCGCACGCGAAGGGACAGCGCAGAAAATGCCATCCTGCGGTGGCCACCGCAGCGGGGACCCTCCGAGCTGCCTGCGGTGTGGGGCTCCCGGTCCCCCTCCACGTCTCTTGATGAGACACAACGTTAATTAGAGATCTTGCTTTCCGACAAGAGGTCAACCGGGAGTGCATTGCTACCTATTTTAGTACAGCGGGAACCCAGTCTGCGGGAAAGGTGGTTGGTTTTAAGCAAGCTCCAACGTTGGTTACGCTACCTTTGGGGGTGGGGTGGGGGTGCAAAATGGCGACTCTCGAGTTCTAAACTGTCCTTCTAAGAAGACCCCAGGATTTAGGAGCGAATAACGTCCGCAACAAAACACCCGGTTATGCGATTCTCAAAAACTGCACTCTAATAGTGGGGGTACAAAATCGGACTTTACAACCCAGCACACCCATCGACCCAGGAGTTGTCATTCCCCCTCCCGCGGCACTGCAATGCCAATCGTCCAGCCGCTGAGGGTCGTTTCGTCTGCTACGCTCGACACCGTCTGTACCGAATAACTGATCTTTTTCGGCTTCCTGAGGTCCGGCAGCCTCCTCTAACAGGGCTTGGCTGCTGGGAACCAGGACGCCTGTGACCTCTGGCTGGGCAGAAGGAAACACCCCCACGCCTACCCCACGCCCTCGGAGAGCAGCCCGTTGGTCCCCTAGCTGGGTGGATGTCCCCTCAGTAAGCAGTCGTGCTCGAGGCTGGCCTGCCGCCGCACCTCGTGCGAGCACGGCACCCCAAAATCCACACCACCCCTGCGAAGCGCACGGCTCCAGGAACCGGGAGAGACAGGCCCTGGGTGACAGTGGCAGTGAGAGCGCGCACTTGCTGCCCAAAGCAGCTGGAATCGATCCAGAACCCCAAACAGCCCCCACGCGCCGTCGAACATCCGCTCGGGTCATTTTAACTCCCCCGGGGTGGGGGCGGGGAAGGGGGCGCCCAACAGTCCCTTTATCTGGGGGAGAAGTTTTGAAATGCCCTTCTTGCTCGGCGGCTCGGGGCGCGCAGAAGCTGGGCGGCGGGAGGCCGGGCGGAGGTCGCGTCCCGGGCCCGGGCCAGCCCTCACTTGGAGAACTGCGCCTG